CCCAGCTCCTTGCCCTAGGCTGGCCCACAGAGGCCTGGCTTGTCCTGCTTTATGAGTGGGGGTGGCGGTGCTGCTAACAGTGGAGGGCACCTGCAATGATTGGCAGCCTCCTGGGTTAGGGCATCTGAGAATGTACCCAGAAAGTCCTGGTGTCTAAAGCCTGAGGGCAGGTAGCAGTAGGGGTGTCACTCTTGATCTGCTACAGATCAAGAAGGTGGCTTTTCACAGCTGCTCTTTACAACCTTGCAAGCTCCACTCATTCGAGTGCTCTTTTTGCTGTCTCAGCCTTTCTCTGCACCCACCTCAGCCCCTGTCTGCTCTCCGGGTTGCCTTCTTGTATTGCCTCACACTTCTAGATAGGCAGCAGGCAGGATGAGATAGTACCTGGACTTTGGAGTCACCCAGTCTTGAGTTCAAATTCAGATACCAGCACTTAGATACCATTTCTGTTCAATTTCCAATCTTGAATATTGAACAAGTTGGGAGGTTTCTTCATCTCTCTGAGAGTGCATTGCCCCATGTACTTGCCTCCCAGGATCCCTGAGGGTTTGGAGTATGATGTGGGTGGAACAGTGTCCTCACCTGGGCAGCTCTAGCCCCTCTCAGGAAGACCCCATTTCCTGCCTAGATCTCTGCTCTTAGCTCCTCAGGCAGGCAAGGGTGAGGAGGGGTCCTGGCCAGATGAAGTGTGGCCATTGTGCATGTGAGAGGTAGAGAAGGATGCTGTGTGTGAGGGACTCTTCTTGAGCTCATTTTCAAGGTAAAGCTCAGTGTTTAACCCGGATCTGTTGAGGAAACCAACCTTAAAACCTATGGCAAGACCACCCAGGGAAGAAGGGAGAGGGTGGAACCCAGGGCCCACAGATACTAGAGAACTTCTGGGCCAGGACTCCCTCTCAGGTTCTAGGTGCATGGGCAAAGCACCTGTGACCTGCTAGATGAGGGTCTTTCCATGAGGGGAGATTCCTGCTTCTTGTAGGCAGACATAGCAGGATGACTTTGGGGATAGGAGTTGAGAAGGTCTGTAGGTGAAATGCAATTGACAAACTCTTATAAGGCTGATGTGCTGTGGGACCCTGGACCGATCCCATTTCTTGTCTTGGCCTCAGTTTCTTTATCTGCTAAATGGGATTATATATCATGCCCTATCTGCCTTCTGGTGTGGGTGAGGCTCCAGCTGGAGAAGAGGTGGGGATGCTCTGTGCTCTAGAAGGAGTGATATGACTGACTGCTCTCTTGGGTACGATTTTGCCTTCCCTTCAATCTCTGCCACACTCGCTTTGACCCATACGGTCTAACCTTGATTTGTGCTTTGATAGAAGCAACTTCCTCATTCTTGCGAAACCCCACCTAGCATAAGTGGTCTCCAGACTGCCACTTGAATTCCCCCAGGGACAGACCACTCGTTGCTCCTCGTTCTGGGTAGAAGTCTGTCTAGAATCTTTTCTCACTGGCCCTGCTCTACTCTCTAGACCTGCTGCACTGCTTTGTCAGAGAATGAAAGTCCTGTCCAGACCCCCAAGGCTTCTGCAGGGGACATAGGCTCCTTTCCTGATGGTGTTCCTCTGAGCAAACCTTCTGACAGGCACAAAGAAGATGAATGGCTACTTAGATGTGGCTGGACTGTTTCAAGAGCTGGACTGCTGGTCACCATGGCTCAAGCCCTTTAAGCCACCAGGTGATTCTCACGAGCTCCACTCTACAGCAGACTCTTGGAGCTACTCATAGAACACACCCACGTTCTAGAAACTCTCCTGTCTACTTTGCCTGTCCATATGGCAAGTAGAGGGCATCAAGCAGGGAACCTCCCTCATTCATCCTCCCTTGAGGCACTGAACAGGGCGCCTCCCTCATTCTGTCTCCCAGGCTGGATCTTCCTTCCAAGATCCACTCGAGTCTGCCTACCAACTTGTTTCTTTCAGGACAGAGGAACATCTCTGCTAATGCCCATGAAAACCTCTAAGGAGACAGTCTGACCATCTCCCCACCTCCGTAAGAAGCCCCAGGAATCCTGTCCGACCCACTTCCTCACAGACTTGGAAATGACTATTTAACCACCGAGCAGCCCAGCCCCTAGTTTTCCTGTCCACAGGAAAAGTCACACATGTCTTACTTGTGACTGCTGGAGTCTCGCTCATTATTTGATATGCATCTGTCCCTGAGCAAACTGCACAAGCTCCTCCAGCTTGCCTGACTTTTCCAGCATTCTGTGTAGCAGTTCTAGAATTTCTTACTAGAAAAGCTAAGAAGCCAACTAACCCAAGCCTAATCAGGCTTTTAGCCTACTTTTGGGAAGCAAAGGGGTAAGGTGCTGATATTTGTGTGTCAGTTGATGTTTGTCATCTCAAGACTCTGCATCAGCTTTGTGTGGGAGGATATGGCAGGGGGAGGTTACAGATGAGGAAAAAAAGCTTTCAGAAAAAAGATAAAGAACCAGACCCCACAGCTAGCAAGGGCAGGGTGGGAACTCCAACCAGAATGGTCCATGACCCAGCTCAAGGTTTCTTGCTGTCAGCCTCCAGGCTCCTCCCCATCACTCCTCCTCGTCCCTCCTTCCTGTCCCTCCTCCTAGGCGCAGCCAGCATGGTCTTCAGAAGGCCCATGCCAGGGCTGTTCTGGCCCATCCCATCCTGTCCTGTCTGAAGACTGGCTTGTCTTCTGTCAGCCTGAGGGAAAAGCCCACTCTGTCTTCCCTGTGTTCTGTGCTCAGGACCAAGGAACAGAGCAGGGGCTCAGGAAGGAAGATGCGCCCCCAGGGGACTGAGACTCTTGAGGGTGGGCGGCTCCATGGGTGGCACATCTGCTTGTTATTTTTCATAGTTATATTTAAGTTGGTGGTCTGGTTGTAAGAGGAGCACGTGTCTGCCGATGAGGCTTTGGAGTCACCCTCTTCTCAATTCTTTACTCCACCCCCTCATCCAAGCATCAGACAACTGCTGTTGGTGCTGCTGAGCTGCAGGCAGCCTCCCCTGTGGAAGGCAGTTCACCTCCTCATGTTGCTCCTAATGTGCCGTTGAGGTGAGCTCACCCTGGTGGGAGTACAGGTCAGGTTAGGAAGCTGGAGGCAGAGCCACCTACTGCAGCCCGCCATCCGGAAGCAGACTTCATTCACAGTCAAGGTCCCTAGATGCAGTGGTAGCTTCAGTTGGATAAGTTTTCCTCTTTTTGTGTGTGTCCTTGTTTTTTAAAGAATTTTCCTTTTATACCTTTATTTCTTAAGCTCTTAGCTTTCAATTGCTATAAAAAAATTTTTTTTCCATGAAATAAAGAGAAAACAAAACAAAACAAAAAAAACTTCAGTCCACCCATATTCTACCATGCCAAGGCCACCATGGTTCCCTGGGCTTTTTCTGTAATGACAGTGTTAGAATATGTTGAAGAACATTTGGGAAGTTTTGGGACGTGACCCTTGACCTTAGGTGGATGACTTACTGGCTCTGTGCCTCTGTTTCCTCGCTCTGAAGAAGAGATAACCACTCCTTTATTTTAAACCCAACCATCATGGCAGGGAGCCAGCTGCAGAAGTCTGCCCTTGGAAGCAGGAACCCCAGGTTCCAGCCCCAGCTCTGCCTCTTGCAACCAAGGGTCATGTGTGTCTGCTCCAGGCCTCAGCTCTGTTGCCTGTAACATGGGTCCGTGATCTGGAAACAAGATACTGCTGCACAGTGGGGGTAATGGATGTGAGGGGGCTCAGCCAGCCTTATGTACCCTGAACTTGGTCCCTGCTTCCTCAGTTTTTGTCAGGGAACATTGCTACATTATTTCTAGTCTCTGTTGGTCATTTTTAATGGCGGAGTACTACTCTGTTGAGCAGAAGGGCTGGGATTCTTTGTCACCTCTACCGTGAGTGTTTAGGAAGCTCCAGTAGCTTGCTGTTACAAATAACATAGGAAATGGTTCTGTGCCCAGAGGGTTTTTTTCTGAGGTCAATTACCCCAGACAATCTCAAGGACATTTCTTGAGGCTGCTTTGACAGAGGACTGACAGATAGGTGAGAAGAAGTGACTTGCAGAGGTAGATCCTTTCAAGGGTGTCCTGGCACACTCCCCTGGGGCAGTGGTGTGTGGTTCTGGGCCATGAGACACTCATAGTGCTGAGCATGAGAGACAAGCCTGAAGCTACCATGAAGAGGCAGTGGGCACTGGGAGGGTGGGAGGGTTGGAATGGGGCTGGGGAAATTGGGCTCTAGTTTTGCCTTTGTCATTCTCTTGCTGTGTGACTCTGGGCAAATCTCTCCCCTTCTCAGTTTCCCTGTGGAGTGTAGGGGTAGGCAGCTGTGTTGTCCAGTATGATAACCACTAGCCACCTGTAAATTAAAGTGTAAGTTGATTAACGTAAAACGAAGTGGACCAGCAAGATGGCTTCCTGTGTGAAAAACACATGTGAATACCTGAAGATGTGAGTTTGATCCCTGGATCCTACAGTGGAAGAGGAAACCAACTCCTAAGAGTTGTCCTCTGACCGCCACATGCACACCTGTACTCACACTCACACATCATGGACACGCAATAATAAATAAGTAACCAAGAAATTAGTAAATTAGTTTCACTGTCCACATGTCTATTTGCATGGTGTGACTGGTAGCCACCACATTGGACCGACAGCACAGGTCCAGAATATTGACCTTAGTGCAGAAAGCTCTATTGGACATGTTTGTCTAGAGACATTTCCAGGGGTCCAGTGAGCCCTAGTGTGCTGTGATTCTGGACCTTTTTCTTGTTAGGGAGCCAGGAAAAACTGGAGGGGTCCTGAGTTCCAAGGGCAGCCTGAGGCCTAAAGAGGTAGTGACTCACCAAATGCAGCTCTGGAAGGGTCTGACTGTGCAGTCACCACACTCTGTCTCTCAACCAGATTCCCTGCTTGTGGGGCAGAAGCAAGCCTGACTGATGTCCCCTTGGTCTGCACTGTCAGTGCAATGTCAAGTCCTGCTTCCCTTTCCCACCTGCTCTCTGTGCCTTGTCAGAATCCTATAGCTCACTCCCATTTCTCCTCTTTTCTAGGGTTCCTGAGACAATGTTTTGGCTCCCTTGAGTCTGTGGAGCTGTGTAGACTCCCACCCACATCTAGGGGCTCTGACCCTCTCCAGCCTCTGACCAGCTCCCAAGCTGTCTCCTGTCTCCACCTAATCTGAGAGGCTCCACAAGCTTCAGGGCTCAGCTGGGGACCACAGCAGTTAGGGTAGGTGCACTGCAATCCCCACTTCCTCCCTACCTGAGGATACCTCAATGTTCTTGGCCCTAAAGGAGGAAAGAGACCTTTCTGAACACTATCAGAATTCTAAGAGTTCAGGAAAACCCTGCTTCGATAAAGTGAAATTATCAGCTCACATAACCAGTGTCGGGTGGTGGGGTAGGCGTCAGGCAGGCAGCGCTTGATCCTGTGTTTCCGACAGTGTAACAGACCTCAGTTTCTGTCTGTTCCTCCATGCCTCTTTCTCTGACAGCTGTACTCTTGGTGACATTTGACATGATCTAAGTCAGTGTTTCTACATTTTAAGTCCAGGGGTGGAAAAAAAAGTTTGCTTTCATAATAGAACAAATTAAAGTTCTAGAATTTATCTCTTGGTCCTCATTGGTAGTATTTGGCTCATCCTGAGTTTTTAACTGGGTCTACAAGGCTTGAAAATACTATTGGTTTAGGGGTCAAGGTCTGATCCTCCCCAGTCAGGTAACCAGAATTGGGAGAAGGTTGTTTCTCAAGAAATCTTGAAATCTTGCTGGCAGGGGGAGAGAGATAGAGAGACTGCCTCACAACTAAGAGAAACAACAACAACAACAACAAAATGATTATTACACAGAATTTTCCCTGACTTGGAGAGCTTGAAGCCAGTCTAGATGAGTATAAACATGCTGTGTGTCCTTGGTCAAATCCCTAGACCTCTCCGAGCTTCAGTTTCCTCAGCTGGTGGGGCACTGAGAGAACTGCCTGGCATCTGACGGGGGCTCAGGAAGTCCTTCTTTTCCTGTTTTGGAGTCATTTGACACTTCCCTATTTCCTTCAAACTTACAAGTTGCTGCTGAGGGAGTAGTGTTGGTCAGAATCTTGGGAAGTAGAGCTTGTGACAAGGATTTGTATACATGAAATTTGGGGCGGGTGGGGTCTCAGGAGAAGTGATGAAGAAAGGAGGTGGGGCAGGAATCAGGTCATAGTCTTGGGTAAAATCCGGCTGTGGGCTCTGAGCAAATTCATACCACAGAACTGTGAGCAACAGACTAGGCTTCCCACCCTACATCAGTGATTAGCCATCCTTGGGGGCCATCACTGCTCAAGTGAGGAGCACCCACGTCAGGGGCAGTTCTCTGGAGGTTAGCAGTGAGCTGCAGCAGTCCTCCCAGTCCTGGGAGGTGGGGGCATGTGTCTGTTACCTGTTCTCCAGGAGTCCTTCTTAGCCCTAACCTTGCTCCACCTTTCCTCAGTCTCCACTCTTGTCCATTTCACAAGGCCCACTTCAAGTCCCTTCTTTTCCAAAGAGTCTCTGCTAGCTGTTCTGACCAGCAGTTATCTCCAAGAGTCCGTCTTCCAGGTAGGAAGATTGAGGCCCAGAGTACATTTCTTCATAAACACTCTTGGTTACTGCATCAGTGCTGAAGTGTGTTGCTTTCTTTGCCTGGACTGCTAGGAAGCTAATAGACAATTTGTAGCCTGCTTGTGCTGAGTCTTCAGGACACAGTTGCCCAATAAACTTGTTCCTGGTTTTTCCTTCTTCTCTCTCTCTTTTTTCTTGTCCCAATTTTTTATTTTTAAGCTGTGCTGCTTACATTGTTCTTAGTCTCAAACTCTCTAGGAAGGAGGTGGGACAGAGATAACCAAGAGTGGCTGTACAGGATGTAGCAAAATGCCTTGGACTTCCCAGAGGCAGCCTGGGAAGGGACTCTCCCTGGCCCAGGCCCAGACCTGTCTCCAAGGAGACTCCAAAGCCCAGTCCAGTGCCCACCCTGCCCTCTGTGACTTGGGAAGAGCATTGTTTGGCTTCCAGCCCTCTCCTCCCTCCTTAGCTTATCAGAAGCTAATGAAAGAGGCTGGGAAACCCAATCCTCTGGTAATTAAATTTACTTAACGGGTATTCAAGTGGAGTAATGAGAAGTTTAATGCAGTGATTAGATTTTTCTTTAATTAATTAAAATGAGAGCTGTGTGTCTTGCCAGCAAGCCAACTTGACCCTGTGCTTGAGAGCAACGGGCAGACAGTGGGGAACTCAGCTAAGTGGGTGGGGGCTCAGGGTGGTGTGGTCCCTGGCCCTGGCACAGCTGCCCTCAGATGTAATGCCTGCTTGGCACAGTCAGCCCATTCGGTGCTTGTTTCTGAGCCCAGTGAAGCCCGGCCTGAGCCATCAGGGCCCGAGGAGCCAGTGGTCCAAACCTTCAAAGAGCTAGACTTGAACTATCTGGTGTCAGACAGGAGGGTCAGCAAAGGGTGAAAAAGCAAGGAGGGTTTCCGGCACCCTGACGGAGAGGTGTTGTGGACGGCACACTCCAGCGTCCTGAGCCAGGGGGCACACCTGCATGTCTAGCCAGCCCATGGGTGGGTGCTAGGCTGTCTGGGCTAACAGAGGAAATGGGCTAGAGGAAAGAGGAAGATGAATAAAGCTAAGTGGGTTAGAACTGACCCTGATGATCTGCAGAATGTTGTCCTTTTGTCTTAGGAGCACATCCACACCAGGAGACTGAGGGGGAAGCATGACTCCCTGGATTCCCCTTTGCTGGGGCCTGGCCATGCCTGGGGCAAAGCAGTCTGAAAATGCCAGCCTGGCTGGGTGGAATGGACATTGGACAGGCTTAGCTAGGGTAGAAAGACCCAGAAGACAGGTCCCAGGCCAGAGGCGGGGCATGTTATTTGCTGAACAGTGGGACAAGTGGTGGGAACCCTGAGGTCTTGTCTTCACTGTGCTCTGACCTCAACCACACACTGAACCTCTATCCTGGACATACTGACTGTTGATCCTGGTCCTACACTGAACCCCGACCACAGCCCTGGGCTGAGCAGAGCCTTGTGGTGCATCTGCCAGTAGCGGAACAGGTGGGGGTGGGAGGAGTGAGGGGCCCTGTTTGTCCATCCGCACTACCGGCTCCGCAGTCCTGTGGGCAGGACTCCTGTGCCAGGCCCCACTCAAAAACGGCCGAGATGAATCAGCTGTGGTCCCCGCCCACAGGGCTGGTGGGGGAGGTGACAAAAACAGGAAGACAGCACTGATTGATTAGAGCTGAGGTGGGGGCGGCCTTGGGGCTGGGGTGGTCTGTGGATCTGCAGTTACAGCCATTCGCTGGGAGTAGGTGGGAGGCAGAGAACTGGAGGTGGGGGCAGCAAGGAGAGGAGGAGAAAGACACCTGGAGTAAGTGCCTCAGAACTGGCTGTGACCCTCAGCTCACAGTGAGCTGAGGTACTCCATGTGGGAAGGTTGGCAGCATGCCTGGTACTGGGCTGGTAGTGACACCTTACCAGAAAAGGCATGTATATTCCTTTCCTAGAAGATTTGGGCACAGGCAGGGGCTTGCATGGTGATGCTCAGATGGAGGCAGCCGGGCCAGGCTGGTGTGCACACTGGAGTACACAGGCTCTGAGAACCCAAGGTCAGGCCCCTCTTCTTACCACCTAGTATTCACAGGTAGGCACTGGCAGGGGCTGGGGAGCTTGTCAGTGAGCTTGTCCTTGGCCTAGGGAAGTGTGTGGGGCCTTGTTGGGCAGGGGTGGGGTGTGGGGCCATCTGACCATAGCTCAAGATGTGGAGCTAGCCAGAGCAGGAGGGTCTTTTGTCCCCTTTCTCTACTTCCTTTGGCCCAGAATCCCAGTGCTCTGAATCCTCACACCTTCATTTCCTTCATCCATAGCCTAATCCAGAGCAGCTAGCAGAACAGAAGCCACCCATCTGAGGAAGGGGGTGCCAAGAGAGGGCACAGGGCCTGCTCAAGGCACAGGCTCTGCCTCCCACATCATATTAAAGAAAAGAATCCGATATATTATCTTGAATTTTTACCCTAAACACAACATTTATATACATTCCTACTTTCCCTGGGGTGGAGTCCTTGAGGGACATATGCCCCCTAAGTTTACTCTATACAGCAGGCACCCCAGAGAGCACTGTGGTCCTCAAACATTCTACCTTGCCTAGGCTACTGTCTCACTTAACCCTCTCAACGAGAGAAGGGTCCATGGATGAGGGAGCCAGGGTTCTGGACCAAGGCCACAGTCACACTCAGATCCTCCATCAAGTCAACCCCTTCCTTGCCAGAGTTTATCCCACCACTGCCTTTCTCCAAGGATCCCCTGGCATCCCTACTGCATCCGCATAGTTTCCCATCGTACCTGTTCTCCAGCCAGAATCAAGGACCTTACCAGGGATCTTGAATGGCCTTCCATCCAGCTAGTCCTGACTCTAGAATTCTAGCCCTGGGAGTGTCTCTCCCCTACCTCTTGTTCCCACATCTGTAGCCTTCCAGTATGCACCTAAGTGCTTGTTTCATGGCCTCTAACTGTGAACACAGCATTGGGCCCCTCCCCTGGGCATTGTCCTATGACTATTGCCCACCTGCTTCTTAGGCTCCTGTCTTTCCGGTTCTGATGTACCCCCATGTAGTGAGCAGAGGGTATTATTTGCCTCCTAGCATCCTAGGCCAGTTGTCCCCTGGGTCCTCTACATGTCTATCAACCCCTCTTCCTGTGTCCATGGCTTCCCTTCTGCTGTCCTGGGTCCATAGGCCCCTCACAGGGCTGGTCCAGCCCCTCCCCTCCAGTGCTTTCTGGGTTGCTGCCGGCTCCCGGCTTCAGCAGACTTCCTGCACAGCCTCCCACCATACCCAGCTGTGGGTGAAGGGATCAAGGAGAAAGGCAGCCTGTGGCGGGCGGGGGGGGGGGGGCTCTCAGGCAAGTCTTAGTGTACAGTAGGCCCAGAACCAGGGAATTCCTGCCTGGATTGCTAAGACAGGGTAGAAGGCTACACAAGTGCACTTACCTGTTTTGCTAAGCCTGACTGTATGCCTGGGTTTCCTCACACCTGTTAAATGACTCAGGACTCACAGTGGGCATCCCTCCCTTTACGCTAACTGTGCCTACTGTTATTGCAGTGGCCCTGAGGGCAGGAGGGGCATTTGGGGAGGGATTCCAGAAGGTGAGGACACAAGAGCAACAACTTGAAAACTGACCAGAAGATGAGGCACAGAGGCAGTGGAGGACAGGCCAGGATT